AGATCAGGAACCAGGTATGGATGCCCACTGTCTCCACTGCTTTTAAACATTGTAATGGAAGTCGTAGGCACTGCAATCAGGCAAGAGAAGGCAATCAAGGGGATCCAAATAGGACCAGAGGAGATCAACCTGACACTCTTTGCAGAGATATGATTATATATCTGGAAAACCCTAGGGAATCAACTACAAAACTCCTAGAAGTGATCAAGGAATATGGCAATGTCTCAGGATACAACATTAATGCTTACAATCTGTAGCCTTTATATATACCAACAATAGTCAAGGGGACAAAACAGTCAAGGACTCTATTCCCTTTACAATAGTGCCAACGAAGATGAAATATCTGGGAATGTATCTAACTAAAGATGTGAAAGATCTCTATAAAGAGAACTATGAAACTCTGAGAAAAGAAAAGCTGAAGATATTAACAAATGGAAAAATATACCATGCTCATGGCTGGGAAGAATCAACATTGTTAAAATGTCTATATTACCTAAAGCGATGTATATATTTAATGTGATCCCCATTAAAGCACCTCTGTCATATGTTAAAGACCTGGATAAATTAGTACTTTGTTTTATATGGAAACAGAAAAAACCTTGAATAACCAAGACCTTACTCAGAAATAAAAGCAAATTGGGAGGAATCACACTTCCAGACTTCAGATTATACTATAAATCGATAGTGATCAAAACAGCATGGTACTGGCACAAAAATAGAGAGGTAGATGTATGGAACAGAATTGAAGACCATGAGGTGAACACAGACACTTATCATCATTTAATATTTGATAAGCCTATTAAAATATAAATTGGAGGAAAGATTCCCTATTCAACAAATGGTGCTGGGTGAATTGGGTGGCAACTTGTAGAAGACTGAAACTGGACTCACACCTTTCTCCTCTAACAACAATTGACTCTCACTGGTTAAATGACTTAAACTTAAGACATTAAACTATAAAAGTTCTTAGCGAGAGTGTAGGGGAAACGTTTGAAAAAACTGACCTGGGAGAATACTTTATGAGGAGGACACCCCGGGCAATTGAAGCAACATCAAAAATACATTAGTGGGATCCGATCACATTAAAAGGCTTCTGCACTGCTACAAAGACACTAAATAAAGCAAATAGCCCTCAGAATGGGAGAGGATTTTTGCAAGTTATATTTCTGACAAAGGTCTAATAACCAGATTCCACAGAAAACACAAACTTATTACCATGAAAAAAACAAATGATCCCATTTCATTGTGGGCAAGAGACATGAACAGAGGTATAGACACATGAAAAAAAATGTTCATCATCTTTAACCATCAGAGAAATGCAAATCAAAGCCACTCTGAGATGCCATCTAACTCCAGCAAGAGTAGCCCACATCACAAAATCCCCAAACTACAGATGTTGGTGCGGATGTGGAGAAAAGGGAACACTTCTTCACTGCTAGTGGGAATGCAAGCTAGTACACTGTTCCTTTTGGAAGGAAGTTTGGAGAACACTCAGGGATCTAAATGTAGACTTGCCGTTTGATCCTGCAATTCCTCTTCTAGATGTATATCCAAAGGACCAGAAATCATTTGGCAATAGAATATTTGCACCAGATTACTCATTGCAGCTCAATTCATAATAGCCAAGTCATTGAAGAAGCCCAAGTGCCCATCCACCCATGAATGGATTAATAAATTGTGGTATATGTATACCATGGAATAATATGCAGCATTAAAAATGGAGACTTTACCTTTTTTGTGTTTACATGGATGGAGCTGGAAAATATTCTTCTTAGGAAAGTATCTCAGGATTGGGAAAAAAATCGAATGTACTCAGTACTACTGTGAAACCAATTTATAATCACTCACAGGTGCATATAAAAAATGAAACACAACTATAGCTTGGGATGAAGGAGGGAAGGGGAGGGAGAGTGGAAGGGGGGTGGGCCAATAGAGGGAGGGTTAGTAGGGGGACCACACCTATGGAGCATATTGCAAGTACAAGTTGGATCTATCAGGTGTGGAACATAAATGTCATAATGCTGTAATTGGGTAAATTAGCTGAAGGCTATATTGATTGGTAGGATGTAAGCACTCCAATTTGTACAAATAATCAACACATTGAATCCCATAATGGCATAAATGTATTTATGATATACGTACAAATGACTTAATAAAAAATTATATACAAAGTGACACATGATGTTCTATTATAATTGTTTTATGTCTTTTATCTAAACGTTTCATGTCTATATTTTAGCATATGAGAGAAACAAGGCACTTCATTGTTTTTCAAAATTCCTAACCAATTTCCCAGTACCATTTCTTGAATAATTCTAGCCTTTCACCCACTGATTCAAAATATTTCAGTCAGCTTGTATTTCTCAAATATTTATCCATATTTGGATTTGACAATTGGCTTTATCTTCTGGTTCATTTGTTCTGTATTTATTCTGGTACAACAGCATTTTAATACTGTAGCTTCACAATATTTTTTTCTGTCACGGTAGCGTCCCCAAATTATTGTTCTCAATTGTTGGAAGACTTCACTGGTTTTCTTCACTTTAGAGGTGAAGCTGTAGTGTTATTGTAAGGTGAAGTTACACTAATACAATTAGAGGAGAACATCAGTTTATTACAGGCTCTCAAGATCTGAAAATCCACCAGCAAATTATTAGACTCAGTGCACATACCTACACATAAGTAGAGACCTTTCCCAAGGGGAATAATCAACTTAGGTTTATATTTCAACGTGCTTAAAGAGGCCAAGGGCATGCTGTCAGGAGGGTCTATACGTAGAATATGATTCAGCAGCAGAGAAAGGCTGCCATGTTTTTACAACTCGAATCTTATTTTTTAATTAAATAATCATATTGTCTAGTTATAACATCCAAAATGAGTATATGCTGACGAAGAAAATGAAAATAACCCTCACCTCTCCACCTCTCCCTGCTCCCCCCCAAAAGAAAGAAAGAAATAAAGAAAGAAAGAAAGAAAGAAAAGATGAAAAAAAATTTAATGCTCCCTCTTACCTATTTTTTAGACTTCCCAGCCTAGTGCTCCTCACCCCCCTCCCAGGTTCTAAACTGGAAAAAGATCCACAAGACTTTTAGGGTAAATTCCGGGGTCTACTTGCCGGCAAGTGAAAAGGAGGGAAATGGGCGTTTAGGATTACAGAAGTACTCTTTTAAAAGCTCCAGCAAAACCCAAGAAAAGACAAATACAAACTATAAAGTATTATGTGAACCTTTTGGTTTGGGGGGTTCCTAATTAAGAAAAAAATAGAGACGCGGACAGTAGCCTGTGATAGAGGTGGATAAGGCAGAACAAGAAGAAAAGGGGCCCCGCCCATGCTATCGCTCCCAACCAATTGCCGCACTGCAGGTATGAATGCTAATTAGGAATCTGAGCTCACAGTGACGTGCCCTTACTAGGCCCGGGGAGGACTAATAGATTAGTCTCTCCTGGTTGCGGTCTGGCGGTCACTGGAGGCGGTGCGCCGGCTCATTATTGCCCTGAAGGCCGGAGAGACATCGGGAAAAAGAGGTAAATAGTAGAAGCTGACTTCTATCCGTGGCAGGTTGGTTGGACCTGACTAGGGTGGGGATGGCAGAGGGCAAAGACTAGAGCAGCTACAAGTTTGGATTACAAGCCTGGTAAACCCCTCCTTCCCTGATACCCATCCTTTAGGTGCAAGAAACGGAGAGCATGGGGGAGAATCTCAAAAGGGGACGGGGTTGTGAATAAGTACCAGTTGGAGTCTCCGAAGAAGCGGGCGATTGGGCGATATCTGAAGGAGTCGGGCTGGGGGAGGGGACAACGAGGAAAAGGCCTGATCCTTGCAGCGGCGGGAGTGGGTGTAGCTGCTGACTTGGCGATGGGGAGGGCGAACCCTGCCATGGGTTTAGGCCTAGGTTTCTTGTATCTTTTCTTCACCTTCCGTCTCTTTGGAGCGGGAAATGGTGGGCTGTGGGACCCAAGGAGAGGAAGCGCTGCGGAGTACAGGGAAAGGTCTTAGGTCTCGGAAACAGGTTCTTACTGCAGCGGTTACGCAGGCAAGATTCTGACTGAGCGATAGAAGTAGGGAGCGAGAAAGGGTTTCTGGTCCCTGTAGGTCGGTGAAAGCGTGGGCGCAGCTTGTGGACCCTGGGGTAAAAATGACAAAGTGCTGACATCACGGCGGGTCCTAATTTGCAGTGCCCACACACCTTTTCACCCATCGTCCATCTTGATGCATAAAATGGTGGGCTAGAAAGAGGACAGTGAGTTTCACCGGGGCCTGGTGGATACCCAAATTGAAATTCTTTGTAAACAAACCATGTCTCCACCCAGCAAGATCTTCTAACTCCCCTACCCCGCAATTTGTACATCTGAGGTCAAGAAATGGTAATTAGGTGGAGTAGTAAATAGGTAAGTAGGAGGAGACAGTGGAGATAGAGGACCTAAAGAAGACGATAAAATGGTCTGGAAATAATTATCTTTGATAACAATGCGTATTTCTGGAAGGTGAAGTAGCCTGTCACAAGCAGGAAAAGAAGCCAGAAAACAAGATGGAACACTTGACTAGGAGAGCCTAAATCAGTAACGAACCTGGCACCCCCAGTATCAGACCTTTCATCAAGTGATCAGTCCTGGCCTTTCCCGATTTTTTTCTGCAGGTTTTAAGTGCGTTGGCGCAGCAGATTTCAAGGCTAAAAGAGAAAGACTGCCTCTGATACGTGCAGGTAGGAGGTTCCTTAAGGCTCTCTGGTGTAGGAGTATCAGGAATTAGAACAGAATCTAGGGGACCCACAGCCCTCCCTGCCCGAGTTAAGTGCAGGAGAAACCTTGCAAAGTCTGAAAAATACGGGAGCCTGTGGCTGGTGAGGGAAGAAGGGAGTAGAAGGGCGAGGTGTAGGGCGCCCCTGAAGGGCTGATCAGGATCCCTTATCCCCAGCCTGATCTCTCAACCTCTGCCTGGCCTACCACCTGGCCTACATTTTTGTGTGTGTGGGAGGGAGTAGCCTGGGAAAGGATTTTCAGGGAAAATGGTGGGCTTTGGGGCAAGTCTGGGATGGGGAGCCCCTAGAGGGAGAATAAAATTTTCTCAGTAGGAAAACCTTTGCCACATGCAACTCCGAATCCTGTTATCAAACATTCAGTCCCTCTTCTTGCTTTTTATCTCTCAGGAAGAAGAGACAGGAACATAAAACTCAACATGGAAAAAGTCCCCCAGGAAAACAAAGTTGAGGAGCCAGCCCCAGTGAAGAATGAAGAAGAAGCTCGTCCTTTAGAAGGTGAAGGCCAGGAGCATGGAGGAAATGTTAGAAGGGATCGGGTTCCACCAGCACAGGAATTTGGAGAGGATGCGCCTAATAGGCTTGCTGATAACATTGATTTGATAGATGGAGATGCAGATGATATGGAACGGTTCATGGAGGAGATGAGAGAGCTAAGGAGGAAAATTAGGGAGCTTCAGTTGAGATACAGTCTGCGCATTCTTATAGGGGACCCCCCTCACCATGATCATCATGATGAGTTTTGCCTTATGCCTTGAATTTTGAGATTAATAACTATAAACCCTCTCTGCTTTGCAAACTTGCATTTTCCTGATATACCTTTAGTCTGAACCTTCTGATGTTCTTCTGTCATTTTCTGATTAGAGATACCATTTTCACCCAGGCTGTAAGTCCCTTCGTCAATGGGGGAGTTTCATCAACTTGCATGAAAACATGTTTATCACATATTGTAATGTTAATAAAGCAATTAAAAAAATCAGTCTATAGATATATTATCTCATTTAAAAGCATGCATATTTACACTACATATAAAATATAATACATGTGAAATATATATATATTAAAATCAGAATGTGTTATTTCTATGTAGTATAGTTATTGGTACTCTTTAATTTATTTTTTCTTGATTGTCTGTTTTTCCCAAATGAATGCATATGTTTTGTACGTGTCAGAAAAGAAGATGCAAGAAAACTGCTAATCAGTTTATAAATGGAATAGGAGAGTAATCAATAAATACTCGAAACACAATTTAAAGATATATAAACCTTGTATTCCCTCTGGATCTCATATCTAAAATAAAAAACCTGATAATTATTATAGATACATTTCTTCCTTTCCTTTTTTTTTTTTTTTTT